ATTTCGATTTTTGTTAGGAAAAATGACAATGTCAATATAAAATGACTCAATAATAAATGTTATATAAAATGTGTTTAGTTGCACCATTATGTACACTATATTGTATCGATTATTAGAAGTGGGGGGGGGGAGTGGTGGCGTACCAGAATTTAAGTGTTTAGAAAATGTATATAAGTTTCAATAATTTTCAAATCTGATTCCATAATACAGTCGGACTAAGTACTGTGCTGTTAYGCGTTAAGGTCAAGTTTATATTGTTACGTTTAGAAAGCGACGAGAGGGCTTATAGGATTTCAGGACGACCGATATTCAACGTGACTGCTTCATCCATATCGCCGCAGGTTAGGTTAGTAAATAACATGCGAAATGTACGATAGATAATTCGCGTGTGGAAAAAATGAGCAGTATTCTGTTAGAGTCTCGAGTTCAAGAGTGCAAACACGTCTATACCGTTGCCATACATATTATGTGCTCTAATATTTCAGCGTCATTCGCAGCTAATTATTTTAGACGCGAAACRTTTTCGTACTTCATTCTGCCGACTCTRGTTTACTACGTGAAGCACACGAGATAACCTAAATGTCATCAAGTCCAACGAGAGTGGTAAAAATATCGTGTGGGTGTGTGCAGCGCAGCGCAGGGTTAAGTGACCGTGACGGCGCCAAGAGGCAATAATGTGTGAAATGCGGTTGTCACAGTCGGTTTTAAAACGGTCTCTTTGGTAACCTAAGTGTTGCAGATGTTTACGAGTAGTGTGGTATTTAACGATTGGAATGAAATCGGAATATCTGAATTTTCTGGATTTATGGATTTGCTTTTTATGTGATTTAAGACTTACAATTATTTTAATGTACTTATGGTAAAATAAATTATTTTATTTTATTATAATAAAAATTAACACTTAAGTTTTATGATATCACTGGTACTTAAAATGCGTTCGAAATTTAGTACAACTATGTCTAAAAGTTACGTTATAGATTTAAAATATTAATAGTAGGTATATAAAAATGAGTCAATGAATAACAAAATTGAGWCGAATAATCAGGATACTTCGAATAATTCGCGAAATTCGAATATGCCTACCGGCTACCACTAGAGCCAACCGAATGACGGCAACTATCGAATCTGTTAAAAGAATGGCATTTAAACACCARCCTAGAGTAAATACATTTTTCTATGATAAAAAAAGTAGAGCATTCACTCAAAGTCTCAATGGATGGTAAGTTAAAATAATAAATAATAACGAAATATGTTTGRAGTGTAAAGTAAGCCAGTTCATCCTCCGTGATGCGCTTTGGAAACACTAAAAAGGACGCACGTCAAAAATATTTTTTATTGTGAAACTTCCGATAATTTGACGGGAAAGATGCCACGAAGCTYATATAGGCATATAATGCYGAATTGATGATGAAAAAGATATTGGATCGAGTGTAGGTGGAGTAATTGAATATTAAAAAAAAGTTGTGTTATGAAATTCCAAAATACACCGAAGCACGGGAAATCTTCGAAAACTCATCATCTCTCCACTTTGCTCTCAGCGAAGATAACATTGAAGCATTACACACATTTTTCCATTACACTAATTTATACCACAAACCGAATATTTACAAATATTTTATTCCTGTTATCATTCATTAGATACTATTGTTATGCTAATAATAACCTCAAGYTGTCGAAGTTTTTATCTTATGTTTAAAAATAAAGTTATAGCTATGCGCACTGCGTATTATACGATTATTATTTTTGCGAGCGATGTAAAAGGGGGGGGGACGCTAAAAAAGCAATTATCGCGAAACCTACCGTAATAGATAAACAAAAGATACGCGTTCAGCAGCTCGTATAGATAAAACGTGATTAGTCGAGTTTTAGTTATAGTTTATTTAAAAGGTATACTTACCTACTGTTATTAAACACGAGATTATAGTATGTAAGTTTGACGATACGGTTTATACACTGATTACAAATTTTTATTGCCTTAGACAAAACATGCTTTTTCTTGTGTTAATAAATTCTCTGCAGTAATAATAGAAATCAGTATACATTTAGGCGTTAAATTAAATAAAACAATTAAAAATGGTGCAATTTGGTAATTTGTATACAGAAAACAGTAATATTTTAATCGTTTTTCCAGTAGATTGTGCTCGACAAACAAACGAATAAATAAAATGATATATACCTATCTAATAACATGTGTCT